GTACCAAAGCAATCGCAACTTGTTCAAAAGAATGAGAAACTGCTGTTTTAATGTGCACAATTGACTAGATGATGTGGAGGTTGAACAAGTAGTTTTGAGAATTTCATTTCTGATCTGAGAAATGCACCAAAGCGACTGAGAAAAACTGTAATACTAAGCCCTGTTACTCACAAAAGCCTAAAATACTTTTCCCTCTTGTTACATTTCAGAACAAAAATTGTACACACACAGATAAGGAAGAAAATGCAGATGAATGAGGATTTGAAGTCTAACAAATGCCTCTTTGAAACTTTTGTTAAAGTTGGATTGGATTCATGATAAACGTTTGATCATACCGCTTGAACAAAAGAAAACTGTGTCAGAGTGTGTAGAGGAAAGGCACAGAAAATTATACTAGATATTTATTAGGATAGACTGGTGCATTTACTTTATAGATGACTTTTTCGGTCTCTTTCACTGCATACTCAGTGAAAATAATTAATACACAGATGGTGTTATGTACTGTATGTTGCGGGGCATGTATGGATAATTCAGGAGCCACTGAAATGATGAATTGAACCACAACATTTAGATGTGATATCATCCATTTATCTCAGCAAACAGCACACAGTTTGATCCAATAGCAGATGGTAAATGTCATAATGTTCAGCAATGGCACATTTAGACAACATTCTTAAGGCTCTGAATATTCACTTGGCATAAATTAAGAAATGGCCTAACCCACACACGCATACAAGCAAACCAACAGAGGATTCATCCTCAAGGAGACTCATCTGGGAGATCTTTTTCCAGCACTTTTGTGGAAGATCATTAGATGGTTTGAATGTTGGAGGCATATTTTTCATTCAGTCAATCAGGTCATGAGATGCATTAAAAATGAACAGTCTCAATTCAATCAGACACTGGTTTGCGATCTCTCACAGTCCTAAATTAAATTCACTGCCTAAATGAAATCAATCCACTGAACGTACAATTGAATTTTACAATTGACCTTGAATGGCTGACATTTGCCTACTTATTCAGCAAATAAATAACACATGACTAAATTGTGAATGCTGTTGAAAAGATGGTGGGTTGCCAAATTCAGAAAAGGAAAATAAGGGACAATTGTGATTATTTATAGGAAAATAAGGGACACTAAAATATTTGTACTGTACCACATGTATGTCAGTGTCTGCAGTTGAGTAGATGTATAAAAGGTGTATAAAAGGTTCTCAAAAATAATCACGTTTTGCTTAACTTATTCATGTACAATTACTCTAATAAGAATTTTAATGTCAAACAAAAAACTAAATGTCACACGCGTTACACACAAACCATCGGCCTGAGTAAATTGTACCATTATAGAATTGTGACTGCACATGTGGTGTAGTAATTTAGGAGGTGGATATACTGTGAAATTACATAGCCTACATACATGGCTATGTGGCATAAATTTTGAAAGCATAAAAACTGAAAATCTGAAATGTCAGTTAATAAAGCATTTTTTTAAAAACTGGCAAAATTTTTAACTAAAATGTTTCTGCAACCATATAGGCCTAGTCTATATGAATGAATGAAAATGCATACTTTTTAATTAAAGATAACTTAGAGACTCTCTTAGGTAGACTTTTGAAATATGGGGACACTCGAAATGTCCTCATAAATCACATTCTCATTGTAATACCTATGTCATACCCATGTCATTATACAAATTTGTGTCCTCATAAATCATAAAAACGTGCGCGCGCACACACACACACACACACACACACACACACACACACATATTTCTAAAATTATAGGGACATTCCATAAGCGTAGTGGCTTATAGTGTACAGACAGTATATTTTATCCCCCTACATGCCAGTATATTCTATAACCCTACCCTAAACCTACCCATCACTCGAAACTTTCTGTATTTTTACATTTTCAATAATTCTGTATGATTTATAAGCTTGTTTCCTCATGGGGACCTAAAAAAAATGTTCGCATAATGTTAGAATTTACTGGTTTTACTATACTTGTGGGGATATTTTGTCGAATTGGTCCCCATAACTTAGGTAATACCAGTACACACACTCACAGCCTCTGAATATGCATTTTATTTTTTATGATTGAACTGTTACTGCAGGCACATCGTTTTTCCATTTTTGTAGCATAAACACCATCAAACCGATGAACGTTTCGGATCTTCCAATGTTTCTCTATGGCACTTAAACCTAAAGATGTCAGAGTGCAACTGATTCTCAACTGCCATTGGCTCATTTGCCTTCCTCAAACAGTTACGTTCACACATAAAATGATTTGTCCAAAAATAATGATTAATTATCAATTGAGAATTGTTAGGCTATTTGTATGGTCTGTTGGTCATACGGCGTATGCTTGCAAATACGGGACAAATGCATGCGTTCCCTTGTATAACATTTCAAAATAAGATTTTTAAGGTTATTTTTGAAGGCATGGATGTATCCTTTGCTTATAATTTCCCACAATCTTGAATAGACACAATAGTCAGGGGCCAAAGGGGTTGCAGGCTTTTCTCTGATAGAATTATAGGCCTATAGCGCCTCGTACTCAATACATTGGCACAGAACAGTTTAACATGAACACTAAATTCTTATAAGGACCCCTGGTCATCTCTAAATTGTGTCTTCAGGGATATTTTCTTATATTGATGATGTTTGGTGTTGCATCTTCTGTTCTTCTCTTTCCTCTCCGGTCTGGAGGAGAGTCTTATCCAGTGCTTATCGCACAAATTTATTCTTGTCCCCCCCCCCTCTGCACTTTAGCCCATTTTCAGCATTCACAACTTCAAAGTATCATTAGGCGATATGATATCCCAGCATCCGTTATCTCTGTACAACACTGATGCTTCTTTTGAACTTTAAGCTGGGATGGTGAGAGACGAGAGACATTGTAGGGAGTAACGACGAAGCGATAACATTTGGCAGATTGACGAGGTGAACGGCTCGTTACCCAATGTTTTCATAGAGCAAATAGTATTAGGTTTCCTATTAATGTCCATTCATAATCTGCATTTACCTTGCGGAAACGAGAAAAAAGGACACACTCAAGTTGAGTGACGGCAATTTTAGCACGTGCTCAGTAAATTTCTTTGCCTGAGGAACACAAAAAATGCGATCATTTTATTCTGAAGCATTTTCAATAATATTCATAACATTAAAGAGACAGAAACACAGACAGACAGACAGACAGATAGACAGATAGATAGGAACTACAGTATTGTAGTTATAACTGTGGTACATTGGCACCCTCTAATGGTCAAAACAAGTAGCGAACGACTTAAAAGATACTTCAGGCTCTCTCTCTCTCTCTGTCTGTCTGTCACAAGTTTGGTAGATGGGGAAAAAAAGAAAGAAACCTTATTAAACCATTTAAATAAACTTTGAAAGCCTTTATATTTGTCTACAAATTAATATTTAATTACTTTTTTCATTTTTTAACATTAAATTTACTTTTTTAAAAATTGCATTTTAATATTTACATAATAATATACTATGGAATTATAGGATTGCCATCCTCAGATTTCTGTTTTCAAAAACAAAAACTTGTTACAGTAAACACTGTTACAGTTTGTTGCACAAAAAGTTTTCAATTTTCATGTATATATACAAAATCACAGAAAGACAAAACATCAAGAGGGAAAAAAAAGCTTATATTAAGTTTTATTTCCATGTAACCTAAGAACTTAACCCTATTGAAAAAAACAGCATATGCTGGTTAGGTGTGTTTTGAAGCATGGCAACTGGTTTGAGCTGGTCCTTAGTTGGTCATGAGCGGGTTTAAGCTGGTCTTGAGCAGGAGCTAGTTGCTTAGGACCAGCACATGACCAGCTTAAGCCAGCTCAGGACCACCTTAAACCAGCTGCCATGCTTCAAAACATAGCTAACCAGCATATGCTGTTTTTTCAACAGGGAAATCAGTGGCTGAGGCAGCTCATGCCCTGCTGCGGTTGAAATGAGCTCGTCTCTGCTGGAAGAGCCTCATCTGCTTTCTTCTCTGAAGGAGGACATCACGCCCATCAAGACGCTTGTGACTTTAAAGGGGAGCAATTCAGAAGAGAATGTTGTACGCACTGATAACAAAAGAACGGCATACGCAGGGTCTGGTGGTAAATCACACACTTTTATTATCAGCTTAGTTGTTGAATTTGTACAAAGAGATCAAATAATGCAATTACAAGACTAGACCATTGGACATTGTGATACGTACACAAAATCAGACAAAGGGGCCTGATCGTAGCAGGGCAGCTATGCAAACTGGAGCAGACGACAGATCAGGTAAACAGGGCCATGTTGTGTGGTTTCGGAAAAGCATTAGCAGCACACACACACACACACAGACAGAGACAATTCACTAGCACACCAGGTGGAGGAGTTACAGCAAACACATGTCAGGACAAAAGTGTCACCACATCATTAAGTTCACAGTGGACCAGACTCTAACCAAGATGTAGGTCACAGATAGAAAGCTTTCTTATCAAACATTATAGTCAGCAGTCAGGAGTGGCTTTGCCTCTGATTCTGTCAGTCCTGGATCATCAGTGGCTTCTTCAGGCAGCAGTTGTAAAAGCTTTCCATTGTATGCTGAATACTAGAGCAGTGCGTTTTTGAATGTTGCTTAAATGCAGATTTATCAGTCAAAGAGCTTCACAAATCTCTGAAATTCTACTTCTAACGCTTGTGAAAGGAGCTTGTTTTTAGAAAGCATCACCTAAAGGAGCCAGTGACTGACCCAGGGATAATGTTCAAAACTGGAGGAGCTCATCAGAAAAAGAAAAAGGCACTTGAGAAATGAGAAATACTACATCAGATTAAGGCACCACAAACAACAGTTACAACGGATCTTTGGAACAACAAAATTTACACACTTCAGGTTTACACACTTAATACAACTTATTTTCTAATCTGTCTGTCTGGGGCTGCATCACCTTTTCAATTAATTGCAATTTTAGACAATGAACTATACATTTCATGATATATATATAGTATATATACAGTATATATATATATATATATATACCACTTGTTGTTCTTTTGCCAATACAGCAATTATATATATAATTTGCTAGATATAATTAAATAACTGAAGACGGCAAGAATCGGATAAACTTTAATGAATCACCATACACAATGTTAGACTGGTTCTGTAAATAATATTGCACAGGTTACTGCTCCGAGGTGAAGGAAGGGACACTTTCCACTTCTATCTATCTATCTATCTATCTATCTGTCACAAGGTTGGTAGATGGGAAAAAAGAAAAAAAACCTTATTAAACCATTTAGATAAACTGGGAAAGCCTTTATATTTGTCTACAAATTAACATTTTTTTCCTAATAATATACTATGGGATTAGAGGATTGTTAAACAACGGATGGTTGGAAATGAATGCATGTCAAAAAACAAATTCATATTTCAAGTATACACTGGTCTGTTACATGAAAAAATCTAATATGTAAAAGTACATTCAAATGCTTTCATATGATTCAATCATACAGTAGCTTTTAGAAATGACATTAAACACTGGGATAACCTTCAAATCAGCTCTCTATGACTGATAGATTTCACTTCAAGCCAGTCTGTACTAACTGTCATTTGTATGCTGAGAATGAATGTGATATGAACAGCCTCTGCTTCTCTCATGAATGATATATTGAACTGTGCTGAAGCTAATACAGCTTCTGTGTTGTGTTGTGTTGTGTTGTGATGTAGAGAAGATATTCTCAAAGTCTCTGCTATAGAGGACAATAAAATGCATGACTAAATGCTAATCTAATCTCTGTAATGTTACTTCAATATTTTGGAAGGTTAATTAACGAGTTCCTGAGAACAGCACCTGAAATTAGCAGAGGTAATCAATAAGACTGGTGGAAAACACACACACTCTCACACACGCAATGAATGGTTGTGGAATGTCACACGTTTGGTTCATTTAATATGGCTAGTTTGTGAATTCTTTGACAGGGCAATTCCCACATTAACAATTAGTAGCTACTCATTAAGCCATAATAATCACTTGGTTAATTTTTAACAATGACTGAGTAATTGTGTGTCAAATCTCATCTAAGCAACTCGGCCACATACCATGACTGAACATCACAATCACAAGGCCAGCTCACAGAGAACAGGTTGTGAAAGTGGGAGGGGCTTTAGCTCTGTGGGAGGAGCCCCTTCTTGTAGACAACCACTCCTGCTGCTGTGGCCAGAGCCAGGAAGGAGGACACGCCCATGAACTTGAGTAATCCCCCAACGGATGGCAAGTTTCTTTCCCAAAATGTGATGACAAACGGCCGGGCCGGGACATCCTGAGAAAAAGTGTTCAGAGTAGAATTTGTTCAAGATACAAAACTAAAAATGAAATGCTTTTTTTGATATTTATGGATTCAATGAAAACATGTTTCTTAAGTGCATTCAAAAGTGCAATTCATACCAATGATTCAGGCTCTGGCTGCCAGATCTGACTCGCATGGAGTTTTCCCATTGCACACAAAATCTGGAAGAAAGAAGCATACAGTATTTAGAGTTTTTCCTTCAAATAACAAATCAGACATAAACTTCAGTTAGCATTTGCATTTAAGACATTTAGCAGATGCTCCTATCTAGAGCAAATGACAAAAAGTGCTTTAGTTTTCTATACAAAATCGTTAACAGATGGCAAGCAAATGTATGTGTTAGTTTAGAAGAGCTTCCTGTACACACACTACTGTTCAAATGTCTTGGGTCAGTAAGATTTTTTTTTTTAATTTAATGCAATTATCAATACAATGTAATATTAGCAAGGATACATTCAATTAATCAAAAGTGACAGTAAAGACATTTATTGTTCTAAAAAAAGATTTCTAGTTCAAATAAATATTTTTCTTTTTTCTTTCTATTCATCAAATATTCCTGAAAAAAATATACCTCAGTTTCCACAAAAAATATCCAGCATTTTTCAAAAATAAATCCCCCAAAATATCAATAATATCAAATAAATATATCAAATCAATAAATATAAAAATATCAATAAGCATGAATACATGCACAAAATGAAGTCGATTGTGACGTGGTCAAATAGACTCCAAAAAAACAAAAGACCAATCAAAATTCAGTTATATTGCAATGACATCACTGCTGAGGAATTCATATTGAACGTTAATATTCAATGACAGATTTTTAAACTTTGAGATGAGAGCTTTTTGTTTCTTGCACTGATATATTTCCTGTTGAAACAGGAAGTTTGGGCAGAACAATTTTTTTAATAAATATCTCAGATCTCAGTAACTATTGGCTAGGAACGCACTTCTCTACTGGCTCTCTCTCCAGCTTGCACGGCCCCCTCCATGTAACCGCTCCACTCTGTGGCTGTTTCAGTTCCTGCAAAGTACAGCCTGCCCACTGACTCTCTCAAGACCCTGAAACAGAGAGAAACGGTCACTTCTCATCTCAATTCCTGCTCTAGTTTACCATCAGCAGGCTAGCATAATGCTGAACCATCCGGCAGTGCACTAACCTGCCATACTGTGTCATGATACCAGGGGGGAAGTAGGCAGTGTAGCAGCCACCAGAGTACTCCTCCTCACACCAATTTTTCTCCTCGTAGTGCACAGGCTAAAGAAGATATCGCCATAAAAATGAAGTGTGAACATTTCTTAAAAAATGATAAGACTAAAGGATGACTTCTGGTCATGGAGACTCACATGTAATGCTTCTTCTGAGCCGAGCACACGAGCATAAATCTCACAGATCCTTCTCTTTCAAATAACACTACAATTCAAAGGTTTGGGGTCTGTAGAATTTTTTCAATGTTTTTGAAAGACGTCACAAAGCCCTATTTTTCAACCCATCAATTAAAACCATTTTTCACAACCTACTGCCACTGGACAAAATATTTGTAACAACAAAAGTAAAATCCTCAATATAACACTATTTATATCAATATTTTAAAAAATGCTGTTTCACTTTAAAATACACTACAATTCAAAGGTTTGGGGTCTGTAGAATTTTTTCAATGTTTTTGAAAGAAGTCTCTTATGCATTTATTTGATCAAAAATACAGTAAATATTGTGAAATATATATATATATATATATATATGCTCAAAGTCTAATTTATTCCTGTGATGCAAAGCTGAAATTTCAGCAGCCATTACTCCAGTCTTCAGTGTCACATGATCTTTCTAATATGCTGATTTAGTGCTCAAGAAACAATATAAATATACTGTATATATATATCTATATTGTGTACATTCTCACCTTGTATATCTCCTCATTAACTGTCCTGACCTCCACGAGGTCTCCAGTCTGGTCAATGCTGTAGACAGCTCCGCCCAGCTTCACACGGTCACCCAGCTCTCTCGCCATCGCCTCACTGATTTGATTGGCACCTCCGGCAAACTTGCGCTCCTGTCATATGGGGCAGCAGAAAACAGTTTTCCATACTTTGGTTAGATCTTGTATGTAATAAATATGATCGGTTTAATAGTCATATACATACACATTCACATTTCAACAAGGATTGAAATTCTTTCATTCACCAATAGGTGTCTCTGTCTCTCAGAGATAGAATTATTATAGAGTTGTATAATACTGCCCACCATGCACAGACCTTATCAGACAAGTTCAGAATATAAAACAGGTTAAAGAACAGAAACAGGCAGATCATGACTGTTTATTGACAATGTCATTCCATAGGGAGTTAAAGATAAAAGAAGTGACATTTTGTTATCAATTTAGCAAACAAAACTGTTATTTGCTTTATTTGTGTACTATCAGAGGACACATTTGCTAGAAGGCTCCTGATATAAATGTGACCCAGATACAGTGGCCACTATTTTGGTATGTTACATAATCAGTTCATTGTCACAGGAATGAATGGGTATGACACAAGGTTGCCTCTCTTGAGAAGTATATACTATAATCAACTAACTTGAGGAATAAAAATCAGCGTCATAGATTAATAATCAAATTAAATATATTTTCTTACACCCCTAATAATGATCTTGTTATTGTGTCAAAAACAAAAATAAGCCATGAAAAATTGGTTCTGCATTTCAGTTATTGGATATTTAAACAAAAATAATCTGTATTGGATCGGTCATAAAAAGAAGCTTCATAGATTAATAATCAAATTAAATATACTCCTCTATAAAGAGTATTACAGAGGCTTGACTGAAACATTACTGTGAGTACTTTACACATTATGACTTAATTTGTTTTGAGGTCAATATTGTTTTACCAGTATTCACACTTCTTGTTACTGGTTGTTTAATATCAGGTTTACCAATATATGGCACCAAGTGATCTTTTTTTTAATGATAATAATAATTGTAATAATAATATACTAAAATACTAAATAAATTGTATTATAATGATTAGGGCTGTGTATCGGCAAGAATCTGGTGATACGATACGTTTCACGATACAGGGGTTGCGATACGATATGTTGCGATATATTGCGATACTGTAAGCAAGACGATATATTGGGATATTTCTTATTTTAGGAATAGAAGAATAAGATATAATTTTAGGAAAACTGTCATTTAGAACACACCACCATATGCAAACCTTACAGGGATTAACGCTAAGGATTTTTTCTACTGGCCTGGTCGGGCCAGTGGTTCAAATTTTTGCCCTGCCACAACAAATAAAATAGTTGCTGTTATCATTGTTTTTGATCTGTTATCTTGTATTCTAATAAATAAGCTTTTATGACACCAATATTTTAGATACCAATTAAATTTTACAATTCTCTATTTCAATTTCGATACCACAGCAAAAATCACTAGCCAAAAATAAACATAAATATAAAGTTTAAACATTATTATAAGTGACAGCCAGTAAACAAGAACAAATGAACAAATTACAAGTAATAGCACAATTAAATATAGGCCTATAGCACAAAACTAGCAATGAAATGATGCTTTAGGTTTTTATGTTTGTAAATGTTCAGGTACAGAAATTGAAAAATCACATATAAAATAACATTTGCATATTATTCACTCTGTGTTGCACCTTGATTTTTCATAGCAATTTGAAATTAGAGGCAACCACTGCATTTTAATCATGAATTGAAAAAAAAGTGCAATGTTTGATTTATATTAGACTGCATCATTTCAAACTTTGAAGCAAAAACAGAATAACCTGACTTTAGCTTTGTCAAATTATGCTACATAAAACATCTGCATGAAACAGAAACAGCAGGTGGGCTGAATGAGACGCAGATTCACTCTCTGACAGCAGGCGGCGCTTATGGTACAGCAGATACAGCATTTCCTTGGTTACCGCTGTAAACACTGCAGCGCTGCGCGTATTAACACAAATTAAAATGCATCATACAGAGACAAAATGAAAAGAAAACGCCATTTCTGAAAACAGTCAGTTACCCGTTCCCCTCAGAAACACATCCATATAAAATTCAATATTTGGATTTTCGTCCTATATTTCGCGCATCTTGAACAGTGATCTTGTTCTGCCGGCTACAGTATTTTCTCCTCTTTGTGTCTGTTTTAAATATCTTATATTGTAAGATATGCTCCCTTTACACAGAGTGCGCGTGATCGCGAAATCGAAAGTGAAAGTGAACAGCGCGAGCGCTCATTCAAAAGAGATTTAAATACTCTCCATTGATAGCGGCTCCCTGATATGCGAAAATTATATGCAATATTAGAATGTTTGCGGGAGCGGGCGGGACTGGACAAACCTTGCAGGAGCGGAACACACACGTTGTCACTGTTTAAGTTCAGAGGTAAGAAGACTGCTATATAGCGGTCGGGATATAAACTCAAAACGAAACAACTGCCATGAATCATGTATACATTTTTTTTAAAATATCGATATTGCGTTTTTGAGAATCGATACAGTATCGACAAACAAAATATTGCGATACTCACGTGTATTGATATTTTCTTACACCCCGAATAATGATCTTGTTATTGTGTTGTTGGTTCTGCATTTCAGTTATTGGATATTTAAACAAAAATAATCTGTATTGGATCGGTCATAAAAAAAGTATTAGTTGATCTCTAGTAATCAGTTAGGAGAAACATGAGAAAAAAGCTACAATCTGTCAGATATCAAACCTAGTATGACATGTCTGACATGACTATATTTAAACATGCAGTTTGAATATTTTTTTAAAGTGAACTCTCCCTTTAACCCTATGAAACCCTCCTTCTGTACTCATAACAGCAAAATATTTCTCTTTCTTCCGCAGAAAGTCAATTTTTTGCCTTGCAACAAGACCCATTTTGAGAGCTGTGGTTAAAGGGGTCATATGATGCTTCTTTAAAGATCATTATTTTGTGTATTTGGTGTAACAGAATATGTTGACATGCTTTAATGTTCAAAAAACACATTCTTTTTCAAATACTGTACATTGTAGATATGTGGGGTGTGTTAGAACGAGCCGTTTTAGGGGGGCGTGGCAGAGTCTTAACTTTGATAAAGAATATCTCTTTGGTTTTGAGACTTTAGTCTTTGCAACTTCAGGGATCTTATCTATGCACAATCAGCTTGTAACACTCCAAAGAGAAAGGAAAACTTGAAATCGCATCATATGACCCCTTTAACTAAATTAGAGGTACAGACTGAGCAGTGACCATGACTATTGGACTTGGCAGGAACATTGAATTTAAACAGCTACAGCTTGATTTATATCACTATTTCTAACACCTGCTTTCCTGGACTGCCAATATTTCGAAAAAGGCACTATTGTGTGAGGACACTAAACCCCCCATCTCACTCCCTTGGCCTGCCTTTCTCTCGTTCTCCCACAGATGTTAATTATACTGTAAACACAAGCACTGCTGTGGTGAAAAAACTAAAGAGACGTGCACAAACACGCTGTGAAAACATTGTCGTTGAGTTCATATGTTTGGCATATAATTAACTCTGCTCTTCGTCAGAGAAATAACCAACCGAGATAAAGTATACAAACAGGCCTACAGTTTCTATAAGCTAAACTGTTGTATAAAGACTTACCTGGCCTCCGTTGCTGGTAGAGAAGATTCTCATAGTGCCTCCACACTGCTTGACGTACCAAAGGAACCACAGAGCAGACACCTCATAGGGCTCAGAGGTCACGTTCACATTGACGAACAGAGTGGCAAAACGGCGAGCGGCCCTGCAGCAACCCGTGGGCAAAGGGATATGCCATTAACAGCCAATATGCCACAACATTACATCATTTTAATTGGTCCCTTCTCTGTACCTGGTCCAGCAAATCTTGTCAAAGAGTTGCTGCATGGTCATCTTGTCCCACTCTTCGGCATGAGGGGCCCTCCACGGAGCTTCTTTAGGAATCTAAAGTGCATATTTGCAATCATGCAATCAGTCTGTTCATTCACTTGAATTAATTCTGATTCCGGTTCTTTAAAAGTTCCATTAACGATTATTTTTAAGAAACAAATGTTCTGAACAAAATTATATTGCCAAATTATGCGAGAATTTAAAGGAACAGTTCACCCAAAAATGAAAATTACCCCATGATTTACTCACCCTCATGCCATCCTAGGTGTATACTACTTTCTTCTTTCAGACGAATAAAATCGAAGTTATATAAAAAAAATGCCCTTGCTCTTCTAAGCTTTATAATGGCAGTGAATGTGTGATATACAATAGTGTGTGTGTGT